CCCTAAACCCTAAACCGTGAACCTTCAGCCTCATATTGGATTTTCGGATTTTGTTTTGAGCCTTACTGGAGTTTCAACTTATTTTCGCATTTCGGGTGTAGAGTTTTGTTCAGCAAACTGGCTCGAGCTGGATCAGAAGATTCGATTTTGCAATCTCAATAGTGTTTAACATTCTGCCTCTGGGTAGTTTCTAGATTAGGGTCCCCTGTAGGGTCCATTTTATAAGGGTGCCGTACCATTTTGGGGGCCAGAAACGGGACTCTACTTTAAAGAACTACCCTTCTACAGCTTTGGTTGTCTTCAGCGTGGTAGGAGAAGCCGCAAAATCCGTGAGAGCCGCGCTCCTAGAAAACGTTCAGCACTGAGCTGGAAATCCAACGTTAAGGGAAACTACAGGTGGGGAGTTTAGGGTATATAGGGCTTCAATAAGGCTTCCATAAGGTATATACACCTTCTACAAGGCTCCTATAACGGTAACTACCCACCTGGAGATGTCCTAGACAGAGAAGCGATCCCAACCATCACCGGATTCATCCCCACTGAACTGAAAAACCTTGAGGCCCCATGCCCTCCGCTCTTGTCGGCGAAGCCTTACTTAAGCCTGAAGGCCACAAGGACATCACTCCAAGCCCCTAAACCCTATAGGATCCTCAAACATAACACCAAAAAGGAACTACACAATGGAGCCTATAGGTAAACCCTAAACTTTATATACTAAAAGATAAGGAGTCCCGATATAGTTTTCAGCAACCGGGAGCCCCCAGCCCGAAACCCTGAAGCCGTCAGAGTTACAGCGGCCCACCAAACAATTTTCAATATTAAATGAACAAAGAAACAAACTCAATAATAAGGACATGTGTAAGTATTCTATATATATATATATATGTATATATATATATATGTATCTATACATATATGCATATAATCTGTGTATGCATTGCAGGGTCTGTGTGTCACGAGACCTGAGCCCCATATTGGCCCTACATCCCTAAACCCTAGCGCCAAAACCCCTAAACCATAACCCCTAAATCCTAAACCCATGAACCCAAAACCCATAAACCCATAAACCCTAGACCCTAAACCCTAAACCCCTAAACCCTAAACCATGGCTCCCTAAACCCGAGACCCTGCGAGCGTGGAAGCAGAGGCGCAGTTAGAGAAGCTGCAGCCAGCGTGGCAGCGCTTTAGCGATGCAGTTGCCAGGCGGACACCTGATTATTGTTGATATAGGGGCCAAAATCATTACCTATATATTATTTTGGGGGTTCCTTATTATCAGTATAGTATACGTAATGGGCCCCCAAACCCTATTCTTATTATCATGGTCCCTATATTACTACCGTTATGGTTATGGTTATGATCATTACTATTCTTGTCTTGGTTATTGTTCTTGTTACTGCTGTTGCTATTGCTATTGCTATTGCTAGTGTTCTTGTGACTATTATTGAGACTATGTTTTTGAGTATGAACACAATCATGATTACATTGGATGCTCGTCATCGTCATCATCTCCATCATGAATATTATCATTAATTCGTTTAACTGTTGCTGTTTGGTGGTGAGTTGCTGTCGTTTGCCTTATGTTCTTGGCATTGCCACATTGGCTGCCTTGGTGATCCTCCTCCGCCTGTGTCCTGTGCTGCTCTGCCGCTACTGCTGTTGCTGTTGTCGGACTGTCGTCGGTGGTTGTTCTTCTTGTTAGTTCGCCTTGTGCCTCTGTTCAGTGTTCCCCAACAATTGAGACTTGGCTTTATGATTTGATGATGGTCGGATGAATACTTGTGACTAGTCGTGATGATTAGTATAACTACTACTACTACTACTACTACTACTACTACTACTACTACTACTCCTGCTGCTGCTGCTGCTGCTGCTGCTGCTGCTGCAGCTGCTACTGCTACTACTACTACTACTACTAC